GTCGTGACAAGAAATCACCATAAGTGTCGAATTTTGACAAAATTTTACATATTGTGAGCAAACGTGACTAAGCGTGAGAAAGCGTGATGAAGCGTGACAAGGCGTGATTTCCTGTAAAGGCGTGACTTGATTCGCCCAGAAAAGTCAAAAGATGACGAATTTAAGAAAGCGTGATCACGCGTTACAAAGCGTGGCAATGCGTGACTAGGCGTGATGTACTGTAAAGACGTGACGAAATTTGCCCAGAAGAGTCAAAAGATGACGAATTTAAGAAATCGTGTCACGCGTGACAAAGCGTGACAATGCGTGACTAGTCGTGACGTACTGTAAAGGCGTGACGAGATTTGCCCACAAGAGTCAAAAATGACGAATTTAAGAAATCGTGATCACGCGTGACAAAGCGTGACAATGCGTGACTAGTCGTGATGTGCTGTAACGGCGTGATGAATTGTGGCCATAAGTGCGGAATTGACACAAAAATTTTCAAAACATTTCCATGCTAACCTAACCAGTAGTTACTTCTTCTAACGTATTGCAATGTAGCCAAAAATAAACGAGCTGTACGTAATATTAGGTAGAATTGTCGATACGTGACATGGCGTGACTATGCGTGACCTACGCTCACGCCGTGACAAGAAATCACCATAAGTGTCGAATTTTGACAACATTTTACATATTGTGAGCAAACGTGACTAAGCGTGACAAAGCGTGATGAAGCGTGACTAGGCGTGATTTCCTGTAAAGGCGTGACTTGATTCGCCCAGAAGAGTCGAAAGATGACGAATTTAAGAAAGCGTGATCACGCGTGACAAAGCGTGACAATGCGTGACTAGGCGGGATGTACTGTAAAGGCGTGACGAGATTTGCCCAGAAGTCAAAAGATGACGAATTTAAGAAATCGTGATCAGGCGTGACAAAGCGTGACAATGCGTGACTGGTCGTGATGTACTGTAACGGCGTGATGATTTGTGGCCATAAGTGCGGAATTGACACGAAAATTTTCAAAACATTTCCGAACGTAACAAAATACACAAACCTAACCTAACCTAACCTAACTTAACCTAACCTAACCTAACCTAACCTAACCTAACCTAACCAAACCTAACCTAACCTAACCTAACTTAACCTAACCTAACCTAACCTAACCTAACCTAACCTAACCAAACCTAACCTAACCTAACCTAACCTAACCTAACCTAACCTAACCGTTACTAACCTAACCCAACCTATACAAATCCAACATAACCTAACCTAACCTAACCTAACCTAACCTAACCAAACCTAAGCTAACGCAACCCAACAAATGCTAACCTAACCAGTAGTTACTTCTTCTAACGTATTGCAATGTAGCCAAAAATAAACGAGCTGTGCGTTTATTAGGTAGAATTGTCGAATTTTGACATGGTGAACACGCGTGACATGGCGTGACTATGCGTGACCTACGCTCACGTTGTGACAAGAAATCACCTTAAGTATCGAATTGAGTGGATGGAAGTCGATCGGGATTATCCCAATTTTTGGCTTTGGCGTCAGCAGTACCGAACCTTCAGGATGTGCTGCCTTTGTCTTATGTGATTTATTCTTTGTTTATTTAACGACGTTGTCAGTTGTTGAGGTTATGTAGCGTCGAATGATAAGATAATTATATAAAAATGAATGGTAAGGAATGCGAGAGGAAGGAACAGTGGCGTTATTTAAGATAGAATGTCGGGGTTAACCTGGAGGAATGAGAAAATCCATGAAGTCTCCGTCTGAACAGCCGATCTAAAACTTTCTCCAATACATTTTGTATCAAATGACGCCGAAACTTTTTTTCACGGTAAATTTGTCGCGTTCTGTTGTTTGCGCTTATATTTGTAGTCTGTTTATCAGAAGTTGTGGGTGAAGGCGGTGTAAAGCGGAGTACTGAGGTCAAGTCGTATAAAACTTAGCATTGCCATCTTGCCCCACTTTACCCTATCTGTAAAGATGCGGCGACTACTTGGAGAATAAAAGACGTGAAACGATGAAACTTTTCGGTGGAAAGACAAGAAAGTAGAGAAAGCTTGGAACAAAACAGAAGCAGCCAACGAGAAAATTGCGTGCTTAAAAGAAACTGGTAACGCTGAGGTCATGACGTGGTCGAACGCAAAGAACTCCACGGTTTTATTGAAGTTGTTCTCAGTTACTTCTGTCAATAAAAAGGTAACCTGCCTGTTCGACTTTCGTGAGCCTTTCGTAACCTCGCAGGCTTGATTTCTTAACACGTCTCGTGTCATAACCTCGTCCTTTGGCCAGAGGAGAAACAAGCAGCGAACTGATCGATATCAGGATGAGGGAGACAATCAGCAGGGGGTGAGCATTCCGAAAATAGCTCAAATTAGGTTCCCAGTATCCCCCTGTAATTGCTAACTATTTCTTATTTATTTATTAATGTTAAGTTGGTCTCTCTTCGCTACAACGCCCCGCGTTATTGGCTGTAGGTAAAGGAAGGACCTGCAGATGTCAAGAGTAGCTGCAGTAGGCATTGGCGGACAGCCGACAAGGGGTGGCATCCAGGTAGTGGGTTGGGCACAGAATAATAATTCATCACCATAAACAGGGGTGTTACGAAATGTTTCACAGGACCTAGGTCTTTCACGGATGAATAAAATGTAAGTTAGCAATAGGATTAATGTTTAAATAAAGTTATGTAAGTTATGTTATGTAAAGTATGAGTAGTAAGTACGGATTTGGAAGGAGACGGCAGTGACACATTTTGTCATATTTTAACTAACGTAATAAATTTACGGTACAAACGAGAATGTTGAAGAATATAGGAAATGTTTTTAGGGACCAGATAATACTTTTCTGATTTTGTAAGGTACGTGTTACAAATGACCGACGTTTCAGAAGTTATTGCTGACTTCATCGCCACCATGATGACAGAAAACAACCATCTCCATACTCATTACCGTCAGAACCTTAAATTTCGCAAATATCCAGTGTGAAGTTTTGAAACATTGAAATTAAGGAATATTTTTCAGAATAATGATACATGGACTGTAGAGAACAAGAGATGAACAAACAAACAAACAAACAAACGAAGGAACGAAGGAGTCGTAACGTGACATCGCCGTGCCTCATCGGCAACTTCTTCAGCTGCGCTCCATTGCGGGTCGGTCCAGGGGCTGCTACGTTTTTAGCTGAAATGAGTGAAATGTGGTTGTATTTCTGAGAAACTTAAATGTTGAAAGACGAAAGCACTTGCTCCAAACTCATACGTATTTTTTGCCTTCCACAAGATCCTCAGTACTTACAAAGAAAACTGATGTAGACAGGTAGAAATTGAGATGCCAAAACGTGTTCTATACCACTTTGACCTTCTGACAATGAAGCTAATTTATTGCAGAGACAAAGCCAGTACTTCATGTACAGAGCCTTTAAAGGCTTTTGGTTTCAGTAGCCTTGGTTCATGGTAGAGCTGCCACCATAAGGCCGTCAAATTTACCCATTTTAACACCGGGCTCTTGTAAAAACTATAGCCCTTCCATCACAGAGCTTAATTACGCTTCTGAGTGAAGTAAAGCTACTTTACTTAATATAAATTAGTAACTACTCGTACATGTCTAGCCTGCTTAAGCAGTCTTACGGTAAACAGCGAATATTTCCTTAATCAGCGTTAAACAGCTGATCTTTGTAATGGTGAAGAGCTGTGTTTTCTATGCGGTACGGACTGAATTCTTAAATATTATTTAGACGACCGTCTCGGCTTAACTGAATTACTTACCTAACTTTCAAAATTATGGCTTCAAAGAGCCAAGGAAAGTTTATCTGCGTTGTTTTGGTTCTGGGGTGTCGGAGAGATTTTTCAAATGCTCTTTGTGGTTGTAATGTCACGTGTCATACGCAGTCATTTGTACGCGAAATCGCAAACGCAGACTGCAACCAATGTGCATAAGGATACCTGAAAATAATTCCACTACAATTATGAATGAGATATAATTTATTGTGAGTAAAGTATTTTATCAACCTTCTTATATTTTAGAAATATAGAAATTAATATTAAAATTTTCTCACCTGCTTCCGTGGAGGAAAATTTTACACTGCAGTTTGAAATCGCCATTAATTCAGTATGAAATTAATTAAACAAATTTTCTGTTTATCGATGAAACCATGGCAATTACAGTTCCGACGTTTAGGTGCAATGCTCTTTTAAGATTGGACCAAAGGAAAAATATACACATTGGATGTTTGGATGTAATGTAGTCGCCAGTGTTGACGCATTCGTACAAAATTCAGTTTTAAATGAATTCTCACGCCATTAACAGTAAATGTGTTTATATTCTCTGTATTAAACATTCAAAGTTTTATCGAGTGCATAATTAAGGCTCTGGATTTGTTATGTTATTTAATCTATCAGAACCTTTTAAAGACTGTTGTGTTCGTCTCTTACAAGCGCTTGGTATCATATTCTGTGCTGTGCGTTAGCCGACTAAGAGCAGTTGCTGGTTTAATTGAATAAACATTATTAATGGAGTACAGTTACACTTCAAAATGTTGGTGTGGAATAAAGATTTTATTCACGAGTAAAGCTGTGAGTATGATTTATATATACCCTGTATTTTACTGTAAATACATTTTATATATATTAATTTGACAGATTCTATGTCATCAGGTAGCAAAATTTTTCCAGTCCTGTACAGTATCATTTATTTATTGACAGAAGCGGAGTTCGCAAAGCGTTACAATGACGTCACTGCTTCACTGTAGGTGACTGTACCCTAATTGAGACGCCGTATAAAGCGTCTCCGTGTAATAAGGTACCAGGCGCCACCGTGGAGCGCTATTAGGTGTGTGCGTGCGTGCGTCGGAAGTTGAAGACTGCTGTCACGAACTAACAGCACTTTGTGACTCTCCCCCAGCCCCCACAGCTCTCCGGCGGTCATTAACATCCGAAAACCCCTGATTTGTAAAGCGACTTACAGATTTTAAGGATTAACTTTGAAACAGAAGGAAATGTGGAACAGGACGTTGAGGTACCGTGGAGTGACGAGGGACATCCCGACAATCTGACTTTCGAGTGGTAGGAGTGACTTCCGGAAGCGAACATGATCTCTGTGTGGTGCCATTTTTAAATGTTTGAAATAATCGGTAGGTTTTTATGAACTCTGGAACGAATATCACGCTGTTGAAAGCCACTTCAATTTGTAGTCTGTAATCAGTACTAACATGGCGGTTTTCAGTGTTTTCTGGTTGTGGCCGGCAACTGCGCTCAAGTAAAGAGTTCTTTGAATTATGAAGATGATTGCGATGATAATAACAGTAGTCTTTTTAAGAAATTTACAGTTTCAAGTTCTGACTTATTTTTGGATTCAAGCGGTTAAAAACTTGTCCAGGAACCCAGAACGCGAGCTCAAGATGAAAATTGTATTTCAATGCTGGGCTAGGCGCTAACATCTCTGTAACATTAGCACCACAGGATTTTGCCGAAATTCGAGTCGAATTATTCGCGAATATGAATATTAATGTTATCGCTAGTTACATTGATCAGTAGAAGAGTCATTTTGTCCTAATCACTTTCCCTAGCGACTTCAGTAGTGATTTATTCTCTGCTAATTGTTCCTTGTTTTATGCAACGGTACCAAAGACAAGTATTCACCGGTCAGAAAACATTTTAGAATGGGTTGATTTAGAAGATGGCTGTATTCTGGGTTGTTGTGCCGTGTAGTCTGGTAGAAGTAAGCTTACTCCTCGCCCTGATGATGGAGGCGGCAAGGACCTCTGTAACGTCGGTAAACTTGCACCTGGCTACACAGCGCAACAACCCAGAAGACAGCCATCTTCAGACTCTCCGCCGTGAAAACTTCAAATCCTGCGTGGGTTCATTTACTTAAAGATGGGATATAATCATAAACACTATGGAACACTTCTTCCTGTGTAGAGAAATGAAGAGTGTAATTAAAATTACTGCTCGTATATAAAGGCCGTGACCAAGCAACACAGTTTGGCTGCATGGGACAGAAAATTTCTTGAGAGTTTCATAGTATTCCGTCTAGTCTACAGAGTTCCTGCATTTAATGAAAGGTTTCTTGCCGTGTTTATGAGATCCCGCTGAGAGAACCTATCGTAATCTAAATGAATTTACTCTACTGAGGCACTTTATATTATTTAAGATCCACTTTAATATTATCCTTAAATTTAGGCTAGGTCTCCCAGTTGGTTTCCCTTTTATTTGATCGTAAAATTTGAGTTTTAAGCCCAGTGCCCTGTTTATTTTAGTGGGACATGAAGTGCATTTTTTCTTCAATGACGTTCTCTAAAATTCGTTCTCGTGATTTGATGTAATTTGAAATTGTATTTGGGATATAATTCCTTTCATATTTTGATGTGTTCGTAGTACTTGATTTGTAGTCTGGTGTAATGTAAAAGTGTGGAGTTACTTAACTAATTTTAAATTTTAATTAATTGAGATAAACTTAACGAAACAAATGCTAGCCATTCAAATCTATCGCTTCTTATCTCAAGTTACCATGAAGTCAATTACCGTAGCAACGAAACTTGTGAATATGATATCGCCTCGACTTCCTTTAGAATTTCCTCTCCTTACTGATTATCAGGTGTGTCGTATAAAAAAAACCCTTCGTACAAAGGCGACTTTAAACTTTCTCCTCGTTAACTACAAAACTTTCAGATTTTACAATAAGAAGATGTGGGATAATATATTC